ATTCGAACCCGGGTCTTCTGCAAGAACAGTCAGTGTTCTTAACTGCTGAGCTATCTCTCCAGCCCCTATTGCTTTTATTTTATGTGTATGCGTGTATTGCCTGCATGTAGATAAGTGCACCCATGTTGTGCAATGCCGTCGGAGGACAGAAGAGGCTGTCAGATCCCCTGGGACTGGAGTTATAGACAGTTGTTAGCTGCCATATGGGTGCTGGGATTTGAACCTGGGTCTTCTGCAAAAAACAACCAGTGTTCTCAACTGCTGAGCCATCTCTCTAGCCCCTAACATTTTTTTTCTTACATTTTATTTATTTATTTGGGTTAGGGATGGGTTGCACATGGGCCACAGACAACTTGGAGGAGTCTGTTCTATCTTTCTACCATGTGGATCCCAGGGATAGAACTCAGATCATCAGGCTTGGTGGCAGGTGCCTTTACCCACTGAACCAACTTACCAGCCCTGGTATAGCCATTTAAAAAAATTATTTATTTTTATTTTTATGTGTATAAGTGTTTGCATGCATGTATATAGGTGTACCATGTGTGTGCAATGCCTGCAGGTGGCCAGAGGAGGGTGCTGGGTCCCCTGGAATTGGACATATGGATGGCTGTGAGCTGTTATGTGGGTGCTGGGAACTGAAGCCCCCTGGTCCTCTGCAAGAGTAGCCAGTACTCATAATCACTGAGCCATCTCTCCAGCCTCTGGTAAAGCAATTTTTAGCATAATGGTCTAGGTGGCTTCTGCAGCTCATCAGGTGGAACACGAAATCGTCAACTTGCCATCCCTAGTCTTTGCCAGTTCTCTCTTTCCTTACCTCCCTATCAGTAAAGAGACCATGGCCCCAAGGGGCCACTGAGAGTAGTACCCAGGCAGTCAGTGAAAACACTACAGTTGCCTCTCTGCCTGTTTTACAGACATCTGCCTGCCTCTGCCTCCCGAGTACTGGGATTAAAGATGTGTGCCACCACACCCGGCTTCTGCTTTTTTCTCCAGTAGACCCCACAAATGCTCTAGACCAGCATTTCTTGGACTTTACCATCGATAGGATTCCCCTGGAAGCCCAGTTAAAAGGCAGATTCTGAGGGGTGGGTCATCTGCTGCAAACATCCAGACAGTGCTGACATCACTCACCAGCTGCAAGGCTTTCTGGCGTGATCTTGTGTTGTGAGAAGCCCTGCTTAGATCTGTGGTTCTCAGGTGCTGTGGACTTCCTCTTTGAATGCACTCTGCTACAGAATTACACAAATAACACAGGTAGAAAGGGAGCCATAGCTGGAGAGATGGCTCAGCGGTTAAGAGCACTGGCTGCTCTTGCAGAGGATCCCGATTGGATTCCCAGCACCCACATGGCAGCTAACAACCATCTGTAACTCCAGTTCCGGATCCAGGGGATCCGACACCCTTTTCTGACCTCCATGGGCATTGCATGACATGAGAGCATTTACATGCATGTAGGCAATACACTCATACACATAAAAGAAAATAAAAACAGTAAAAATAAAAAAAGAAAGGGTGCCATAGTAAAAGAGGCAGGGACTGTAGCCTGCCTGCCCAGCTTCCCCTTGTCTCCCACGGCCCTCTCTGCTGTGCTCTTCCAACAAGACATTAGGCCTTCAGGGAACACATTTTAAAAACCGCTAGGGGCTAGAGATGGCTCAGTGGTTAAGAGCACACAGAAGACCTAGGTTCAGTTCCCAGCATCCACATGGCAGGTCACAGCAGCCTGTAACTACAGTTCCAGGGGATCCAACACCCTCTTCTGCCTCTGTGGGCACTTGCTGCATGTACATACATGTGGCAAACACTCATTTACATAAAACAAAATATAAATTTTTTTTATTATTTTTATTTTATGTGTATGAGTGTATTGCTTGCATGTATGTAAGTGCACCCATATCATGCAATGCCCACGGACGACAGAAGAGATTGGATCCACTGGAACTGGAGTTACAGACAGTTATTAGCTGCCATGTGGGTGCTGGGATTTGAACCCGGGTCTTCTGCAAGAACAGCCAGTGTTCTTAACTGCTGAGCCATCTCTCCAGCCCCATAAATATTTTTTTTAAAACTCCAACGATACTAGGGGCTGGAGAGATGGCTCAGTGGGTAAGAGCACTTACTGTGTAAACATCCCCAGCACCTATGTACAGAAGCTGGGTGTGGCCACTCTTGTGTCTGTAATCCTAGTGCTGTGGAGAGCAGAGACAGGAGGATCCCTGCCACTTGCTGGCCACCAGCCTGACTCCAGGTTCCATCAGAGACCCTGTATTGAAAGAATAGGTAGAAGGTGATGGAGCAGGACACCAGTGTCCTCATGTGGCTGTGCATGCATATGCAGTGAACACTCACATGAACATGCACATTCCACACTAAATGTTGAAAAAAAGATGGTTCTTGGGATGCGAGCCCTGGTTTTGCACTTGCTAGTTATGTTGTCTCACACACATTTTACATTAGAAGAGAATTAATTTTACTAATTAATCTCAACTAGAGCGATGGCTCTGCCTTAGGACCCATAGGGACCAATTTTAGGGGTTGACGACTTAGCTCAGTGTTAGAGTGCTTGCCTAGCAGGCACAATGACCTGGTTTTCAGTCCTTGGCAGCAGAAAAAAAAAAATCCCAATTTTGCAAACAGATGTGGAAGTACTCTAGTCCTGTGAGGCAATATCTGAATGCAGAGTAATTGGATTCTTTTTCTTTCTTTCTTTTTTTTTTTTTTTTGATCTTTTTGTTACAGGGTCTCCCTGTAGCCCCAGATGGCCTGGAACTCACTATGTAGACCAGACTGGCCTTGAACTCGGCCTCCCGAGTACTGGGACTAAAGGCATGCACAACTGTGCCTGGCATAATTGTATTCTTACTTTTTGTATTATTAAAGAGTAAAAAGCTGCTGGGCATGGTGGCACAAGCCTTTTAATCCCAGCACTTGAGAGGCAGGGGCAAGTGGATCTTTGTGAGTTCAAGGTCAGCCTGGTCTACATAGAGAGTTCCAGGCCAGCTGGGGCTACAGGGTGACACTGTCTCAAAAAGACAAAATAAATAAATAAATAAAAAAGAGTGAAAAGCTAAGTCAAACAAAAACCCAAGCCAAACCATACCAGAAAAGTTCTACATTATACAAATGCAGAAGTTGTGCCTTCTCCCAGTGGTCCTGGGGCTCCAGGAAGGAGGGAATACAGATTCCAACTGCCATTTCCCAAGGCCCCTCTCCAGTAAGCAGCCAGCCATTTTTACCTACTATTCATCCTCAAGGGGTGCTCAAACAAGGGTTGGCCTGAGTTAGAACTCTGGAATTATGTAAGCTCATGGGAGAGCTTGAGGCTCAGGAGGTAGATGTGGGGTCTGTGTCCCTCCTCCTCCTCCTCCTCCTCCTCTTCCTCCTCCCCTTCCTCCTCCTCCTCTTCCTCCTCCTCTTCCTCCTTCTCCTCTTCCTCCTCCTCCTCTGCTGCAGGCCAGAGTGGACTGGGCAAGTCAACACTGGTCAATACACTCTTCAAATCCCAAGTGAGCCGCAAGGCCTCCAGCTGGAACCGGGAGGAAAAGATCCCCAAGACGGTGGAGATCAAAGCGATCGGACATGGTGAGGACTAGGCTGGGGTCTTCTTTGGGTATCATTTGGCGGGGGGGGGGGCTGTGGCACCAGGAAGGAAGGGGGCTTACTCATATGTGAAAGAAACCCAAGGGTAGAGTTGAATTAAGCCCTAGACTTGATGAAGCCAATCCCTTAGGCTGCTAGCCCCAGAAAGGGAGACAGAGGAGGGGGTCTTGAGCTGGGTCATAAAGCCAAGGTAGGATTTCAACAGACCTAGAAGCAGAAAGAAGTAGGGTGGGTCCTCTAGGTGTAGAAAACAGCATACATAAAAGCTCTGAGTTGGAAAGACCAAAGACCATAAACTTGGCTTTTCTAATAACTAGTCTTGAAGACGAGGGATGGGTGTTCCTGGTCAGGAAGCTGCGGAGCACCTTGGGTCAGCTGCAGGACTGACCTGTCTGATGATTTTTCTCTTCACCTCCCAGTGATAGAGGAAGGTGGTGTCAAAATGAAGCTGACGGTCATTGACACCCCGGGTTTTGGAGACCAGATCAACAATGAAAACTGGTATGTGTCTGCCTCTGAGATTTCTGCCCCAAATACCCTGCTAGGAAGATGTGAACATGGTGCAGATTCATTCACATTGAGAACCATCTGTCCTCCCTGCTCTGCAGGTCCCTAGTGCCCAGGCAGAGTCTGGGTCCTGTTGAGGGAGTTCTACCCTTGCTAAGCTATCCTATGGGGCAGGTGGGAGAGAACTGACCAGCAGGTAGAGAGAAGGGAGGGTAGGTGGGTGTGAAGAGACTGTGACTTGACTGTTGCTAAGAAGTACTCCTGAGTCTTGTCCTTACAGTGTATTCCACCTGTTTTTTCCCATCCCTCAGCTGGGAGCCCATTGAGAAGTACATCAACGAGCAGTATGAGAAGTTCCTGAAGGAGGAGGTGAACATTGCCAGGAAGAAACGTATCCCTGACACTCGTGTCCACTGCTGCCTCTATTTCATCTCCCCCACAGGACACTCGTATGTACCAGCCCCACCCCTGCTACTGGATCTGGTTTTGATTTAGGTCATCTGTGCCAGTTCTGGGTTAGATAATCAATACCTGGACTCAACCAGGTAGGACCAGATAGGCTTGAATACAGTCATGACCCTCTGACCTTGGGATTCCCTGGGCGTTCCATAAGAAAAATCTGACTTTCTTGCCAGGAAGGGTGAAGCTGACGATTGCTGGTTCTCACAGCTCAGCTAGCTCAGAAGAGAGAACCCGAGCAGAGGGCACCTCGTTTTAGTCAACATTTATTCAACAAATTCTTGCTTTGGCTGAGGCTCAAGCCTTAACCAAAGATCTCAAGGTCTGGGGACAGCAAGAAAGGTGAAATAGAGTAGATCAGGGCTACTTATTTGGGGCTGATATTTGACAGGATATAGAACTTAACTGTAGGTATCTGGAAAGTGACCACCTCAACAGGAGCAGCCAGACATCTAGGGATGAAGGTTGTGATGGGTCCCATGATAGGCAGTTGGGGAACAGGCAGAGGTCAGAGACCTCATTGGTATTTTCAGCCACCTTCCTACAGGGATGCGTGTGTATCCCTAAGCTCCTGTGCTGGGTCCAGAGATCATGTTTTGAAAGGCCGACATAGCAAGGTAGGCCGGTACTCAGTGATATTGAGTAACAGAGGAGGCAGGATGTGAAATAAGAACCCTGGACCAGGCCAAGGACCTCAATAAAATGAGGGTTTTTTTTTTTTTTTTTTTTTTTTTTTGGTCTTTTTGAGACAGTGTCTCCCTGTAGCCCCAGCTGTCCTGGAACTCACTATGTAGACCAGGCTGGCCTTGAACTCATAGGAATCTGCCTGCCTCTGCCTTCTAAGTGCTGGGATTAAAGGCGTGCACCACCATGCCCCGGACGAGGGTTTTTTTTTTTGAGGGGAGATTCCTGGGAATTGAACCTAGGACCTCGTACATGCTAAGCAAGCACTCTACCACTGAGCTCTGTCATCAACCTTCTTTTTACTTTTTATTTTAAGACAGAGTTTCACTAAATTGTTCCAAATTGCCTTGAAGTCACTCCATAGCCCAGGCTGACCTTGAATTTGAGATCTACCTGCTTCAGCTAAAGTGATAGTTTTATCCCTCCCTAGACCTTGACCCTGAGGGTACCATCAGACAATCCGACTTAATGAATTCTCCAGATGGCAAACTAGAGTCAGATGGGGGCTCTCGGTCCCCAGTGGGTCCTACAGAATGGAATGTGGGGGCTGGAAAGAGGCCATTATGAAGTGTTGTTTTAGAGGCACAGTAAGTGCTGCATACATCATACAAAACATTCAGGTGGGGGTGACCGTACACATATGTCTCCAAGAGAAAGAAATCCTTAGCTCAGAAAAGGTGTCATGGAGGAGTGATTTGAAGTTGCTTAAGGAGAGGCTTGCCTTGCATGGAAAGTGAGGAAGAAGGGGCTTCATTGTGAGGGGCTGATTTGAGGATAGAGCTGGGGACATGCAACAGATACTGAAGGAGTGGACATGTCAGAGAAGAGAGGCTGTAGCTCATGGCCTCAGCCAGATTCCCAGACCAGGCCTCTCCCAAGGGTGCCCTGGGAGGTGGCAGTGGCTGAGATGGGGAAGCAGGTGGTTCTGACACTCCCACCTTCTCTGGGCCCTAGCTTGCGACCTCTTGATCTTGAGTTCATGAAACACCTCAGCAAAGTGGTGAACATCATCCCTGTCATTGCCAAGGCCGACACCATGACCCTGGAGGAGAAGTCTGAATTCAAGCAGAGGGTGAGCTGGCCCCTTTCTCCTTTTCCTGTCTCCAGCACTTCCTTCCCCTCCTCTGGGTCCAAGCCATTTCCTGCTCGCCGTCCTCTTCCATTTCCCCTCTACTCCAGTTCCCCACCCTAACTCCTCCTTAACTATCTCGAAGGCAAGGCTAGCAGTACCTAGGACCAAAGGTAAGTCCATGCAGCTCCAGGCTGCCTTTTTCCTCACTCTACGTACTTGCCTGCAAAGGCCTCTGGATATGCTCATCACTGTAGTCCTGTGACCTCACTGTTCCAACATCATGTTACTTGAAAGACTGGACTAATGGGTTAGCCAACCAACACTAGTTCTTATTGGAATGATCCATAAGCTCAGACGGGTGCTGGATGCCCAGAGCTCAAGGAGTGGGCATGAGACAATTGTAAAGACCGTTGCTACTTTTAAGAAACTCATTGTCAGGCTGGTGTGGTGGCCTATGCATATAATCCCAGTACAGAGGCAGGACAGAGAGGCCCAAGGATCACAGGCCAGTCTGGAATATGCAGGGAGACCCTATCTTTAAAAAATTAAAAGAAAGAAACCAAATAGAACACTGAAGAGGTCCTGGAAGAGGCGAGACTTAAGCTGGTCTTGAAAGAAGCAAACAGAGGGTCGAGAAATGGGGACTTCACCTCTGTTCCTTGCAAACGGGAACAGAGCATGGTCATGGGCACAGCCTGGGGAACCTGGATCAGCTGTTCTTGCCCAACAAAGTTCGGGGACTGAACCTACACAGAGACATTGCCTCTTCTCTCTCAGGCTGGGCTGTGGTAATTGTGTAGTGGGTTTTCCTTTACTTGTGGTCTTCCTGCTGCCAAGGCCTAGAGTCCAGAGATGATTGGTATGAGTTACTTCTCCATTGCTGTGATAAAACACCATGACCACTTATGGAAGGAAGAGTTTATTGGTCTTTCAGTTCCAGAGGGATGAGAGTCCACCTGCCAGAGCAGAAAGCTGAGCGTTCATATCTTCAAGCAGAAACAGGAAACAGAGAGAAAGACTCAAAATGAGGCAAGACCAAAGCCCACCCCCAGTGACGTGCTTCCTCTAGCAAGGCCACACCTTCTAAGACCTCCCGAAACAGCGCCACCCACTGGGGACAAAGTGTCTAAATACTTGGGGCTTATGGGGGACATTTTCATTCATTGGAGCCTATGGGGGACAGTCTCATTCAAACCACCAGAACTGGATTATCAAACACTGGCTTCATCTGACTTTAGGACACACACACACACACACACACACACACACACACACACACCCTACCTGTCTCTCTTCCATGATGACACTCGGTACCTTGCTTGTCTAGGTTCGCAAGGAGCTTGAAGTAAACGGCATTGAATTCTACCCCCAGAAGGAATTTGATGAGGATCTGGAGGACAAGACAGAAAATGACAAAATCCGGGTAGGTGCGTGGGACTCTTTACCACACAGTGTGTCTCAGGCCTTTCCTCCTGCCCATACCCTGGTGTTACCTCATCTGACCCAGGCAGGAGGAGGAGAAGACAGTGGCGTTCAGTACAACTGTGAACCCACAGAAGAGCTTCTTGCACCCAGAAAGCTCGCGTTCCCTTTTATCTTCAGACCACATAAAAGTTCCTTTTCCTTCCCAGGACCTGTCAAGACCAGAGTGGGATGATGGGACACCAGGCAGGGAAAACATTGGGTGGGAGTCCAGGGGAATCTGTACCCTGGTCAGATCTGTACTGAGTTGCCTCAGTTTCTTCTCATTCATAAAATACAGAGGCTAGACAAGGTGAGTGGCTTATAGGCCTTTTTCCCCAAAAGAATCACTTAAAAACCAAACAAGGGGCTGGAGAGATGGCTCAGTGGTTAAGAGCACCAGCTGCTTTTTCAGAGGACCCAGGTTCAGTTTCCAGCACCCACATGGCAGCTAACAACCATCTGTAACTCCAGTTCCAGGGGATCCAACACTCTCTTCTGGCCTCCATGGGCATCTGAGCGTGCTCATGCGCGCACACACACACACACACACACACACACACACAAATAAAAGATTTAAAAATGATTATATAAATCCTAAATGTTTAAAAGGAAATGTTCTACAAGGTTAAACTGCCTAAATCTCTTCATGTATCACATTCATTGATCTTCATATTTTTGTGATGCTAGAGATTACATCATAACATCTTTTTAATTACATAGTTTTGTTTAAAAGATTTATTTTTATTTTATGTGTATGAGCATTTTGCCTGCACGTATGTACTCGCCTAGTGTCTGTGGAGGCCAGAAGAGGATGTTGGATCCTCTGGAGCTGGAGTTACAGATAGTTGTTAGCCTCCATGTGGCTGTCAGAAACTGAACCCAGGTCCTCTGCAAGAGTGGTAAGCGCTTTTAACCGCTTGAACTGTTTCTTCAGCATCTAGTTTTCTTTTTTTTTTTTTTGCCACACTGAGGATCAAACTTAGGGCCTTGGACATGCTAGTCAAGTGCTACACCAAGCTACATTGCCAGCCCAGTCTATTCTTACTGCCAAAGGTGCCTAGTTTTATGGTCTTTCAGAAACATTTGGCTTGATTTTCAGAGAACAGCTCTACATGCATGTGTCCTCGTCTTCCCTAACATAATCATGTGCTATGTGAAGAGACTGATCTGTGAAGGGCTGCATATGCCAGGGCTCCCCTATGAATGACACCGCCTAGTGGCATTGTAGCTGTCTTCTTAGTGTAGTAATACACCATGATATCTGCCCCATGACACGATCACCCACCAACTGTTTTCAGAACTCATTCCTGTCATTAGACAGCATGTGACTAATTTATCCAATGACCACAAGCACACATCAGGCAAATACATTCGGGAACTTGGCCCCTGATAAGAGCAGCCCTAGTACTCTGTTAGTTCAGTATCTGAGCATCTGCCAGTGGGTCTCATGGGAGACTAACATCCTGGTGAGTCTGGCTGTTGTTGGGTGGGTACTATTTGCAAGAGATTCTGTCCTTAGCTCACAGAGTAGTTCCAAATCACACAAAAATAGATGCGCAAACACAATGAACTATACAAAGTGCTCTCTGGTTGAAGGAAGGCCAACTTACCAAGGCTAACCAGCCACGCTGCAGTGAATTCATGGCTGAATCCAGGCCTCCCGAGCCCCACCTCAGTGCTCATTTCAAGAGGCAGAGCCTTGCCTTTGCCACCAGTTAGAATTGCTGAATGGGCAGCAAAGTACATTGTGCAAAGCTGAGATGTTCAGGACCATTCACTGAGCTGCCCTTGAACATTCAGATTCCAGAAGATGACTGTACGCGTGTGTCTGGTTTGTTTCTCTCCCTATCCAGCAGGAGAGCATGCCTTTCGCTGTGGTGGGGAGTGACAGGGAGTATCAAGTCAATGGCAAGAGGGTCCTCGGCAGAAAAACACCCTGGGGGATCATCGAAGGTAATTCGTCACATCTTCAGGAAGAAGTGACTGCTGGTTGGTTACCCAGCAAGCAGCTTTTAAGCATCAATAGGCCAAGGTGCTGTGTTAGGATGTGAAATATGTAACTAATATTAGCCAGATTCTGCCCTGTGAAGGCAGGAGTTTACAGTCTGAAATGATAGTCCCAGGCAGGAAACAGTGAGGCCCATTTAGCATGTGATCAGATGGCAATGGCTTGACCTGTCAAAGGAATTCAGAACCTGGAGACTGAGGTGTGGAAAAACCAGGGAAAAGTTTTCACATGAAGGAAAATGTGACCTGACAGAAGTGCCCAACGGTGGCTCAGATGTCACCTTCTCCACTCTATTAGGAATGGATGTGACCTTGGGAAGGACATGATAATTTCGAAATCCTTCAGAAAATTACTTCAGGGGTTTCATCCAGGGTTGGGGATGTGGCTTGGTGATAGAGTGCTTGCTTAGTGTGTGCGAGACCTTGCGATTCATCCTCTGCACAGCACACCAAAACCAAACCAAGACAAAGCAAACAAAAACCAATCAAACAACCTTTTATTCAATATGGTAACCCTGTAAGGGAAGCAGGGCAGGTGCCCCTGTCCCCGCACTACAAATCAGGTTAAATGCCTTGCCTCCCTTTATGCGCAAGTGGTCACGTAATAGTGAAACTTGGATTTCAAATTTAGATATTTTGATTCCCAAATCAAAGTTTACTCTATTGTCTTGAATTATTTTAATTAATACCATTTTTGCAGTGCTGGTGATAGAACTCAGGGTTTTGCCTGTGCTAAGCAAGTGCTGTACCACTGAACTACATCCCCAAGCTTTTTTTTTTTTTGACAGGTTTCCATTCTATGGCCCAGGCTGGCCTTGAACTCATGATCCTCTTACTTCCATCTCCCAAGTGCTAGGATTGTAGGGTGGTCACCATGCTCAGTGTCTTGAGAATTTAAAACTAGCATCTTATTATTTGCCTTGAATTAGATTTGTGAGAGTGTCATACACACACTGTAAGACCAAAGAGTCATGTCTTAGTCTCTCTGTGCCCATAGTGCTTGGTGAATGGTTCGCAAATAATAGTTACTCTATCTAAGTTAGATTTATTGTATAGAATGTAACCTTTTAAAGCTGGCTTTGTGGTTATATTCTCTGTGTATTTCTTTTAATCAGATTATAAATTCCTTTAGACTAGGAACTGTGGGGCTGGAGAGATGGCTCAGTGGTTAAGGACACTTTGCTGTTCTATCAGAGGATCTGGGTTTGATCCCTAGCACCCACATGGTGGCTAACAGCCGCCTGTAACTCCAGTTCCAGAGGCTCCAACACCCTCTTCTGGTCTCTATGGGCATTGCATTGCATGTGGTACACTTACATACATATAGGCAAAGCATTCATACACATAAAATAATAAATAATATATATTTAGAAAGAAAGAATAGGAACTGTATCTTAGACCTTGGCAAGTTTCTATCTTTGTTATTTGTTTTGGAGACAGGGTCTCAATGACTGGCCTAGATCTCCCTATATAGGCCAGGCTGGCCTGGAACTCAAAGAGATCTGCCTGTCTCTGCCTCCCAAGTTCTGGATTAAAGGCATGTGCTGCCATGCTTGGCCCCTTGGCAAGTTTCTTGAACTGAAGTATTAGTTTTCTGTAAAGTGGGGGACAAACCCAGCCCATATTAGGTGTTATTCTAAAATGTCTAGAATAGTATTGTGCCCATTATAACTGATAATAAGTATTTGTTCAGTAAATAAAATTCAGTACACCAATGTGAGCAGACCTCAGGAAGGGTTACAAAATAACCTGTCCCATGTTCTCTTTAAATGACCCAAGTTTCCCTTCTGGCGTTGCATTGATGAAGTAGCCATCTGTTTTCTTTTCTTTTTTTTTTTTTTTCATAGTGGAAAACCTCAACCACTGTGAATTTGCCCTGCTTCGAGACTTTGTCATCAGGTAAGCTGTTTTCTCTCCCCCTCCCAGATCGCAGATTTAATTATTTGAGCTCAAGGGCAATCTGATAAGATTCTCTGAGTCTTTAGATCTCTCTGACAGAGCATCCTGCCCCAGTTCTAAGCCTGTCTCAAAGCAGAAGGGGTTGGAGAAGTACCATCGGCCTTCTGGAGTGGGTCCAGTCCAGCAAAGCAATGTGTTACCCTCAGAGGTGGGTCACTTCCTCCTCTTCCTGTGCTTAACTGTACTCCCCTCTCTCCTCACCCTGTGTCCTTCAGGACTCACCTCCAGGACCTCAAGGAAGTGACACACAACATCCACTATGAGACTTACAGGGCCAAGCGGCTCAATGACAACGGAGGCCTCCCTCCGGTGAGCGTGGACACAGAGGAAAGCCACGACAGTAACCCATGATGACCGCTTCTCTGTGTCATCACACATGTCCCACTTCTTCAAACACACGCGTCCCAAATACCACCTCCAACCACCTCTTCCTTTCAGCTCTATCCCACATACCTGTCTGGTATTTGTGGAATATTTTGTCTACATTGTGTGTGTGTGTGTGTGTGTGTGTGTGTGTGTGTATGATGTATGTATGTATGTATGTGTGTGTGTGTGTGAGAGAGAGAGCGAGAGAGAGAGGAAGAGCACGTGCCTGGGTGTGTGCACTGAGGTGAGGTGTTTTCATTGCCCTCTCTGGAAAGTTCCTTGTACGTCTGCTCCCTCCATGACTATCCATTCTCGGTCTCCTTTTTCTTGTGCTGTGTGCCTCACTCAAGAGATCTGGGGAAGGTTTTATTTCAAAATGCTGGGAGCAGGTGAGCCACAGACAACTCTTTCTTACCTCTGACCCATCCACAAACTAGGACTGCAGAGATTCTCCAAGGACAGGTGGCTGAGCTAGCCTGAGGTTTCAGGGGCGGGGAAGTTCAGGACAACCTTCAGTGTAAGTTGAGGTGATGGGGAGTTAGCCTTGGACTTCCTGGGAAGATGAAAGGAGAGGTCCTGGGTGAGCAGAGAAGTTGCTTGAGCTGCGTTCCTGCAGAAAGAATTAGTGTCTGAATGGAGCTTCACCCTTCGTCTGTGCCACGGTCGCTGCCCAGTAGCTGTCACCTGTCACTGCTGCAGCTGCTGCTCTCCACGCTCCCCATGCCCGTTTCCTGGCTCGCTGCTCACCTCCTCTTCCCACCCTCTCTCCTTTTTCTCTTTTCCCTCTTTCATATATAAGCCATATATTTTCCCCCACCTGTCTCCTGCCTGGTTCCGACTTTTCACTTCATTTCTATATTTAGAAGTTATGCCTAGCCTACTTCCTAAAAATGACTGTAGGCCACCCTAAAATACAATCACAACTAGAAGTGTGGGACAGCACACACGGAGACAACACGAGCCATGGAGAACACCAGAGCAATCAGTTTCTGAGCCGAGCACTGAAACAGTCCCTGAACTTGAAGTAGCAGAGCAAGGAGAGAAACAGTGATGCCGTTCCCAGTGCTCAGTTCCCTAATTCTGAAGCATCAGAAACAATACGCTGTATTTCTTAGGTTTGGCTTCAGAGATGAGTTTTGGAAGGCACGCCCCCTCTGTCAGCCTTCACTGCTAAGCTGGATTCTCTGTGGCTTCATTTGTCTGGTATATATCTGACTCCTTTCTCTGTTCTCCCCTGCTTTTTTCTGTCTGTCTGTCTGTCTGTCTGTCTGTCTGTCTGTCTCTTTCTCTGCTTCCCTGATTCTGGCTCCTTCTTCCTGTAGATGTTCCCAGGGACAACCTCACAATCATACATTCCGCCTTTTCTCACCTTTATAAGCTCCGTGTTTATTAATGCATACACTTCTGTTAAGTGCACAAATAAGTTAATCTTTTTCCTTTAGTTTTAAAGTCTTCTCTAAGGGAAACAATTTAGCCTTAAGGAAGGAAAATCACCAAGTGATCCTGTTTACAACAATCTTGTCCACCCTCCCACCTCCTGGTCTAGCTGAGGGGCTTAACTGGTCCTCGCTGAATACCAGCATTTATAATCCCAGTCCTTTATCACTCAGGTGCCAGGAAAAACGAGAGATGGAAAATCCATGATTCAGTGGACCAGGTGAAAGAGGAGGGGTGATCAGATGACCCATCATCCCAATCTTATGGTCTCAGTCTTTTCCAGAGACTGATTAATCAATCTAGCCCTCGTCCCTCTTTGCCCGTAAAGTTACTCCAGAGTAGGCTCCCATCAGGCTAGAACAGTGTTATTGGGCTCCCTGAGTTACAGCCAGCTGCGTTGTATGGTGATGACATGGGACTGGGCATCTAGGGCCAGCAGGGGAATCCCAAGGGGTAAGGATGGTGGGCCCTGGAGTCGGAGAATGGTGCCTGACGCCCCCTGATCCATGGTCTCACTTTCCCTGGAGAAGCTGTTTTATGTGTCTGCTACCACCTGCTGGTCTCCGCACCCTCATCCGTTCTCAACTCCCCCTGCAGGGAGAAGGTCTCCTGGGCACTGTCCTTCCACCTGTGCCAGCCACCCCCTGCCCCACTGCTGAATGAAGGCCATTTCAAGCGCTGCTCCTCCCTCAGTCCTCTTGCTGCAGGGCCAAGCCCCTTTTAGTGCTGTGCTTGTCCAGCCCACCACCACAGCCCCCCTCAACCCTCAGAGGTGGGAGGGACCAGCTGCCTCTTTAGGACAGTTGCTTCCTCCATTTAGCCAAATGACTCCTGACCTCCCAGTGGAACGGAGTTTGCGCCAGCACTACTCTGCCCCATCATCTGTGTCCCAGCCCATCTGTAGGGAGAAAGAACTCACCAAGAGCTTCTCCTGCCCTTGCAAACCCAAGCCAGCTGCTTGTAACCATCTCCCGGGGACATGGCGTTGCTCCCTGTCCATTATCCGCATGAGCTGCTCTTGGCTTCCTTAGAAGGTCAAGAAAGCGACATTTCTGCTTGTCTGAGTCACTGAGGTCAGCTGTGTGAGCCCCAGTGTGGGACAAGGGTGTCTCCTTCATTGCTTAAAGGTATTTAGAAGGGTGAGTCAGTACAGATGCTGGGGAGCGAGGGCTAGCATCATTAAAAATCACCGCTGGTGGCTGGCCCAGTGTGTGAACACACCCTCTCCACCCCACAATGCAGTCATTTAGGAAGAGCGGATTTCCTAAGTGACTGCTGCAGTTGACTTCCTTTTCCACAAATAAAAAAGTGAATTAGACACACAGGAAACCCCCCAAACCCACAAGCTATAGGAAGAAAAACAGCACCCTTCTGTACACTGAGCAATATGAAGGATCTCTTCCCACCTCCCCTGACTGTTCCCACTCCCATCCTCCACCCTGTTAATGTGAGTAATGCTTTAGCCTGACCACAGGTGGTCACTGTAGGCTAATGGAGAATACCCAGTGGAGGGCAAAGCCTCCATCAGATGCATGAATGTTTGCGAGTGTCGGCTGCCACTGCCCTTACACTATGTCTTTATAGAACCCACCCTCACCCACCTGCACCCACCATCTCCACCAGGACACAGCTTGCTCAAAGGCTGGTGACTTGTGGGCCATTTATCTACAACCAAGTCCTGATGGAACAAGAGGCCCAAGCCTAGGGGATGCAAGAACGACCCATTTCTAAAATGTTGCCAGTCCCAGCCAACCTTTTGATGACATTCTGGTTAAATTTCCCAGTTGAAAACAAGCCAACAGACACTCAAACTGGTCATGTAAATGTTGCTAGACTTTGTGTTGTACAACTAAACATGCTGTTTGAACAATACTCACTGCCTTGTGTTCTTGCTCCTGGATCAAATTAGCCGTTAGTGACATCCATTCACCCACGTGTGAGCTAAGGACCGTCTTGGTATTGGAAACACTTTATGGGATCAGTTCGTCTTCATGTGGCATGCTGTCATAACCCAGTCATTTCCTGGGACAGCCATCAGGTTCTCTCCCAAATGAGTCGGAGAGTGATGACACTTGACCTCACGGTTGCTGTGCTTTCCCAGAGAGCGGTGTTAATTTTCATTCCATTAACTTCTTAGCTTCCCCCTCCTTTCCTCCTGAGGTGTAAGGACTAGTCATGCCTAGAAAACTAGTTTACAATGATTATGTCAAGAATGTAAAGGGACCAGTACCAGGGCTCCCCCTGGTACGGGCACTTGCTACCAAGTCTCACAATCTGAGTTCCATCTCTAGATCCTACATGGTGGAAGGGAATCGACTCCCTCTGATCTCCTGGTGGGGCAGGTGTGCACAATATATAACTATTTAAAAGGCATTTAAATGCTAGAGCCATGGAGATAGCTCAGCAGGTAAAAAATGCCAGCTGTTGCAAACCAGAAGTCCTGGATTTGGATCCCTGGCATCCACATAAAAAGCCAGGTGTGGCTGCAGGCTCACCTGTAACTTCAGCACTGTGGGTGGGTCACTGGGGCTTGCTGGCCACCAGCCCACTTCTGAGTTCAGTGAGAGTCTGTCTCAAGGGGATAGAGGGAGAGTAACAGGACACCTGATGTCCTCTTTTGGCCTCTTGGGAATGCACACAGATGTGTGCACCCCCCACCGCATGTGCAACACACCACACCGTACATACACAAAAGTTAAACACTCGCTTGTATTTTCCTTGAACTTAATCTAATCCTTCCCCTCCTTTATAGCTTAGCAGACAACCCAACTCTTGCCTGTACATTATTTTTCTGACTTTGTGACAACCGTAATGCAATTCTATTTGGGACCTTGATTTTCTGTGAGGTAAACACAAGGTATAGATGAAAGGAGGGAAATGGTCTGGAGGGCCAGAATGGAAGGGTGAGTCAAGAGGCTCATGGAACCATTCAAGTAAAGTGAAGATGGCTACTAGACAGGTGACACAACACAAATGAAGGGAAACGTGAACGATGGAGCAGTTGGCGAACATCAACTATTACAGCTACAGGAAAACTAAGCACTCAATGCCACCATACAGATCCAGAAGGTGAGGTCCAGAGGACATGATCCTGCCCGAGGTTGCATGGGCCATGGCGGAGAGAGTCTACATTGCAATGCTCATCCCATGGCTGCATACTATTCCTGTTGGACTTCATTTTCAGATGAAAGAAATCGGTCATCAGGACACATCTTACAACAATGGCATGCCAGTCTGCTTGGTAACTTTCTCTAGTGGCACAGTAGTAAACGGTGCATCTCATACTTGACATCTTAATGAAGTCACTAGCCAAGGATGCCTACATCTCCTGGTGCTATTTATGAAGTTTAAAGGAAATAAGAGCATCCACAACATTCTAGTCCTCAAAGCAACTCATCACAGTGATCCCGTCAAGTCCTCACAATCTCCTTTTGGAGGAGACAGGGCAGAGATGGTGGGTGATGCAGACAAAGGCTCAGTAGAGCTTGGAAACCACCACTCAAGGAGGAAAAGAGCCTTCCTGGATGTCCTCTCACCAGACCACTGGTTCTGGTTCCAGGTCTCCCTTGGTGGAAGAACGTTCAAGAGCCGAGGAGTGTAGACCTGTTTCTCTGAGAGAGAAGCTTCCTGATCTGGGGTTGGCTTAGGATAATCTGGGCAGAGATTCTGAAGATGATGGCTGCTTTTAAGCCCCAATTCCCAGCAGGACCACCTGTCTGTGCCCAATGCTGTGACCCAGTGCCAAGGAGACCAGGCTGTGCCCAGTGCTGGGGCTGAGTCCTCATTCCTGGCAAGACCAGTCTGTGCCCAATGTTGCGACCTAGTGCCAAGGGGACCAGGTTGTGCCCAGTGTTGTGACCCAGTGTCAAGAGGACAGGCTGTGCCCAGTGCTGGGGCTGAGTCCTCATTCCCTGCAGGACCAGCCTGTCTGTGCCTAGTGCTGCGACCTAGTGCCAGGGGGATCAGGCTGTGCCCAGTGCTATGACCCAGTGTCAAGGGGACCAGGCTGTGCCCAGTGCTGGGGCTGAGTCCTCATTCCCGGCAAGACTAGTCTGTGCCCAGTGCTGCAATCTAGTGTCAAGGGGACTAGGCTGTGCCCAGTGCTGGGGCTGAGTCCTCATTCCTGGAAGGACCAGCCTGTAAGTGCTCAGTGCTGCCACCCAGTGTCGAGAGGACCGGGCTGTGCCCAGTACTGGAGCTGAGTCCTCATTCCATGCTGGGTCGTGGTGGCATCTCAATCAGGAGCAGCCCATCTTGTGGCAAACTTGGGCAGTTGGCGCCTTGATCAGGCTGTGGGCGGACCGAGAGAAGGCCACTCGGGGGTCCCTCGGCCCCGTCCCGTCTGGGGAGGAGCCAATTCATGAACATGCCCCCTTCCGTGTCCGGGCCATCTCACCCCTGACTCCGCTGGCCCCTCTTGTGACAGCTGTCAGCTCATTCTTGCTTTCTGCGCCATAATCTCCGCCCTTCCCTCAGGCCCCGCCCCCTGCCCGTCAGGCCCCGCCTCCGCCCGTCAGGCCCCGCCTCTTCCCATTTGAGGGGAGGCGGGAGGGGGACGAAGAGCAAGATGGCGGTGAACCAGAACCACTCCGCGGACCGTCGTGGGGTCGCCATCCCTCGTGGAGAAAGGTGTCTGCAGGGAATTGTGGGCTGCTGTCAGGGGCGGGAGAAGAGGCTGCAGTATCTCGGCCAATCGAGGTCTTTCCCGCCCTTTCTAGGCGCAGGCCTCTAAGCTCCGCCCCGACGCGGGCGTCCCCTGAGGATGCGAAGGCGGGGCGAAGCTGAGGCGTGAAGGCCTAGCGCATGCGCGGGGCGGGAGCTGGCGAAGCTGAGGTGCGGAGGTCGGCGGACAGGCGTATGCGCATGCGTATACCCTGGGCGGGAGTGGGGCCCCGGGAGCAGTGTCTTCTCAGAGGGAAGACCTCAGCGTCGGGCTCCGCGGTGCTGAGAGGGAAGCGTGGGTCGCTGCAGAAAGATCTCGAACTGCCCAGAGCCTTTCTTGGCCTCCCGTGGTGCCCCCTCGGCGGCATCTCAGTCCAGAGAAGCCCATTAGGAGGCCTTTTAGGCCGCGAACCCTCCCCCGACCCGTGTTCCTCACAGGCTGTGGGTTATGCCCCCTCTCTGCGCTGATTTGCCTCTTCTCCCTGCTTGCAGGGAGACTCACGTACTGTGATGCACGCAACACCAGGGTAGGTTTGAATGGTTAGGAAGGTCCGAGGTCTACGTCATGTGATGGTCTTTCCTTTTTTTTGTCTTTTTGAGACAGGGTTTCCCTGTAGCCCCAGCTGCCCTGGAACTCACTATGTAGACCAGGCTGGCCTTGAACTCACAGAGATCCGCCTGCCTCTGCCTCCCGAGTGCTGGGATTACAGGCGTGTACCACCACGCCCAGTGGTCTTTCTTTTACTTTAAAAAAAAATTTCCTTTTTATTTTATGTGTATGAGTGAATTACTGCATGGAAGTGCATCCATGTCATGCAATATCCATGGAGGTCAGAGGAGGGCGTCGGATCTCTGGAACTGGAGTTATGGAGGGTTGTTAGCCTCCATGTGGGTGCTGGGATTTGAGGGGCAGCCAGTGCTCCTAACTGCTGAGCCATCTCTCCAGCCCACTAAACTAAAAAGGTTGTATGTATGTTATATATAAAATATATAAATTATATAAAAATGTATAAATGATTTTATATATTTTTTATATTTTATTTTTATTTGATGTGTATGAATGTATTGCCTGCATGTATGTAAGTGCAGCATGTACAAGTATATGTAGTGCCCACAGAGGCCGCAAGAGGGTGTTAGGATCCCGTGGAACTGGGTTACAGGTGGTTGTGAGCTGCCTTGCTGGGAACCGAGCTGGGGGTGGGGTCCTCTGCTAGAGCAGCCAGTGCTCTTAACTGCTGGGCCGTTTCTCCAGCTCCACTTTCTTTGAGTTAGTCTTGCTTAGGAACTCCTTCTGCCTCAGCGTCCCAATGAATGTTTCCTGTAATTTAAAAAACAAAACAACGAAACAGGCCAGAATGTCTCCGATTTGGAACTGAGCAAGGATTTGTGCACGCTGGAACCCCAAGTAATAGCGATAGTGGAAAGCATCCCCAGTGGATTGGTAAATGAGGAAAGTAGGTTACAGAGCAGTTGGTCGCGTGAGGAAAGCACATTTGTGATTGGGATTGTTTGTAAAGTGTTTTGTTCCTGTCTTGCCTTAGCACAGTACATTTTGGACATCCCTAATCTGAACATCTAAAGTGCCATCAAAGCTTTAGCTACATACAGATACAGTGGTGTGATCCTGCTGGGATTACAGGTGCATGCCACCATACCTGGCTTGAGATCCCAGCTGAGAAGTCATAATGTATGGGCCAGATCATGAGGTAAAAATGGAAGAGATCAAATTGTTTTATTTTATTCATTGTTTAACCCTTCTGTAGATAATACTATATGTCATTTTAGAAAACTTAGGAAAAAGTTGATTAGCCCAAATTCCAGCATTGAGTAGTTTTTACCTCTTGGTATGGCTACCTCTGCACTTTTCCCCATGGAAACACGCACTTGCTCCTCCTCACCAACTGCTTTCAAACTTATTTTTCTTGTCTGCTACTATCGGGGGTGCTATCCAGCATCAACACCTATGTTGTTATTGTCAGTGGCTGACACTGTGGATGCATAAATCTTTGGTCAATTCTAAATCTGAGATATTCTGAGTTTTTTTCTCATTACCATAAACATTACTGCTTGAATTAAAACAATTTTTTCCTGTTTTTTTTTTTTTTGAGGTAGGGTCTCCCTGTGGCCCCAGCTGGCCTAGAACTCATTATGTAGACCAAGCTGGCCTCGAACTTACAGAGATCTGCCTGCCTCTGCCTCCCAAGGGAGGGATTAAAAGGATTTGCAACCACATCTGGCTAAAAATTTTTAAAATTACATTTCTGTGTATGTGCACACATGTACACATGCCACTGCAGGTATACCATGGCATGCATGTGCAAGTCAGGATAACCTGCAGGAGTTGGCTCTCTTCTTCCAACACGTGAATCCCAGGCATCAAATTCAGGTCATCTGGCATAGCAGCAAGTGTCCTTATCCACCGAGCTATCTCTCCAGCCCCTGTTTGAATTATTTTTGTAAACATATCTTTACATATCTATCAAAACATATCTTTGGGCCTGCTACTCCCTGGCTCTGTGCCTGCCTTGTGATGCCAAGAATGCTGTGAGAGGTACAGAAGTCCCTGGGGTGAGCCCCTCTTGCCTCTTCTAAGGAAATGAGTAGTGCTTGGCCTTTAGTAACAGCACTGTGTGTATAGCCAGTTTGTCCTTGTGCTGGATAGCTTTAGTGTCAACTTGACACACCTGGGTTGAGGGAGCCTCAATCGGGAAATTGCCTCTATTGGACTGGCCTGTGGCCATGTCTGAGGGGCATCTTCTTGATGAGTGATGTGGGAGGGCCCAGCCCACTGTGGGTGGTGCCACCCCTGGGCAGGTGGGCCTGTGTTGGATAAGAAAGCAGGCTGAGCAGGGGCCAGGGGAGCAAGCCAGTAAGCAGCGTTCCTCCATGGCCTGTGCTCCAGCTCCTGCCTCCAGGTTCCTGCCCTGAGTTCCTCCCTTGGGCTCCCTGATGAACTGCATGCGACCTGGGAGATGTAAGACAAATAAACCCTTTCCTCCCCAAGTTGGTACTGGTCAGAGTGTTTTGTCACAGCAATGAAGACACAAACCAGGACAGTTCTTCTGCCTGACAGAGATGGGTATTTCCCAAGTATAGCAAAGTTGTGAAGGTTGCTATGTCAACAGACAAAGATACTAAGAATCACAAATGAATTGCATTCACTTTTGAATAGACTGTGCCAAATTGCACCAGAGCAACAAACAACAGTTACTTGAGGAGGTGATAAAGGCAAGTGTTGCTTTTGATAATAGAAGAGTAGCGGGTGCATCAGAAGGTGAAGCTGCCTTGATGTCTGTTAGGGCCTGGAAGAAAGTGGACCTTTAAGTTACTTCTATTCTAAAAATGTGTTTGGAGCATGTCAGCCTCCAAAAAGAAAGAGGGAGAGGAGAGGAAGGGAGAGAGGAAGACATGAGGGAAGAGCCTGCTCTGGCAGTTTCAGGCCGTAGCAGTCCGACAAGCCAAAGTAGAAGAGGAAAAGCAGTGCAGAGGGCTCCTCAGTATCGGACGATTCAAGATGCATAAGGACAAAGAAAACCACATATACCATCAATAAGGAGGAAGAATGTAGTGACTAATATCATTAGAATAAAAAAGACCTTTTGGAGTACAAAGTTCAGTTGGTTAGTCAAGATTAGTTTAGTATTTGATCATAAGAACACAATACCAAATAGGTTTTTAAAAAAATATTTTATTTACTATGTATTTTATGTGTATGAGTGTGTTGCCTGCATGTAAGTGCACCTGTGTTGTGCAGTGCCCTCAGAGGTCAGAAGAGGGAATCAGATCCCATGGAACTGGAGTTACAGGTGGTTGTTAGCTGCCATGTGGTGGTGCTAGGAATTGAACCTGGTCCTCTGCAGGAGCAGTCAGCACTCTTAACTGCTGAACCATCTCTCCAGCCCCAGGTTTTGTTTTTTTTTTTTTAACTATAAAATAGTTCATAGGAAGTAAAATGTTATGTTTCTTTTTTGCCTAACACAGCATAGGTTGGACATTCCTGATTTAAAAATCCAAAATCTAGGGAAAAAAATCCAAAATCTAAAATACTCCATTACATCCAGGTGTGGTGGTACATGCCTGTTATCTTAGCCCTAACCCTGCCTAACAAGACCCTATCTCAAAACACAAAACAATTTTTGAGTGCCACAAGATACCTCAACTGGAAAACTTCATACTTTGTCTTACGTATAACATTGTTAAAAATATTATATACGGGGCTGGAGAAATGGCTCAGCATTTAAGAGCACTGGCTGTTCTTGCAGAAGACCCAGGTTTGAATTCCAACACCCACTTGGCAGCTAACAACTATCTGCAACTCCAGTTTCAAGAGATCAGACACCCTCTTTTGACCTCTGCGGGTCATGTACGACATGGGTGTACTTACATACATGCAGGCAATATACTCATACACATAAAATAAAAAGATATTAAAAATTTATACAATTATAAAATACAATTATAAAAAATATATACCTCTGGTTATATGTATAAGGTATATATGAAACAAATGAATTTCATGTTTAAACTTGGGTCTCATTCCCCCAAATCTCATTACGTATGTGCAGATATCCAAAGCCAAACCACTTCTAAGTATGTAATTAAGGGATACTCAATTCATACCAAAGAAATCAGGATTTGTTAGTTATAACTAATATTACATTTATTTATTTATTTATTTATTTTTACATGTATGAGTGTTTTGCCTTCATATATGTAAGTGCACCTGTGTTGTGCAATGTCTGTGGAGATCAGAAGAGGGCATCAGATCCCCTGGAACTGGAATTATGTACAGTTGTTACCTGCTTTGTGGGTGCTGGGAACTGAACCCAGATCCTCTGCAACAAGCAGCCTGTGCCCTTAACCACAGAGCCATCTCTTCAGTCCCTTAATCTTGAATTAATTTTAATAAAAATAGAAAACAATACTATTAGCTATCATAGAATGTTATTGTTATCCCACTATAAAAGCTTTATTTATATCTGATTAGTTTATTTGTGGATTTGTTTGTTTTGTTTTGTTGAAATGGGATTTCACTATACGGCTCAGACTAATCATCATGTAAGCCCAGAGGCTGGCCTTGAACTCTGTGTGTGTGTGTGTGTGTGTGTGTGTGTGTGTGTGTGCGTGCGCGTGCGTGTCTGTGGTTCTGTGCTTGTGGTGTATACATGCACATGTGTGCTCCTTTGTGTACAGGCAGAGGCAGGATATCAGGAGTCCCTATCACTCTCCACCTGATTTTGTTCAGACAGTCTTATGCTGAACCTGAAGTTCACTGTTTGATTAGGCCAGTTCCTGTGAGTCTCCTGTCTCTGCTCCCCAGTGCTGCGGTTACAGGCACATGGGGCCATGCATAGCTTTTACTTGGATGCTGGGGATTAGAACTCAGGTGTTGTTGCTTTCACAACAAGTACTGTTACCCACTAAATCATCTCTCCAGCCCCCCACCCTCGACCTTCAACTCTTGACCCTCCTGCCACAGCTTCCCAAGTGCTGGGATCAGGTATGCACTACCATGTCCAGCAGGAAATTGTAGAGTTTAATTTACATTTAATGTCATTGTTAACACTGAAGGACTTCTGCAGTTTTGCTGTTTGTTTTCTACCTCTTTCTTTCGTGTTCCATAATGCCTTCACTACTGCCATTACATTTGAAATTTTTCCTAGTATTCCATTTAATTCCATCTCCTTTTTTGTATATATTTTAGTTACTTTGTGGTTGTCTTGAAGATTATACTTAGTACATTAATTTGCATCAAATCAATACCAACTTAATTTTAAAAAAATTATTTTTATTTAATGTGTATTAGTGTTTTGCCTGCATATATATAAATGCACCTGTGTTATGCAGTACCTGCAGAGGCCAGAAGAGGGTGTTGGAGTCCCTGGAGCTGGAGTCATGGACAGTTCTTAGCTGCCATGTGGATGCTGGGTACTGAACCTAGGTCCTCTGGAAAAACAGCCAGTGCTCTTAACGACTGAGCCAGCTTTCCAGCTCCTAACTTTTAATGATGTATAAAATCTTTGGTCCTATATAGCTCTGCCCACTACCACAATATTTTTGTCACAAATTACATCTTTATATGTTACATGCCTATCATCATAATGATTATTTTGTTATTTGCCTGATCTTCCAGTGTTTCCTACCTGTACTAGTAATATAGGTTGTTATTTTTAAAGCTGCTGCTGGGCTGGAAAGAGTGAGTTTAAAATCCCATGAAGCTCGCTTAGATTCAGCTCTTGTTGCCTTTTAGCTCTTGTTTAAACCTTCCCCTAGTGTTTTAAGCCTTTTTAAATTCTGGTAATTGTTTAATCCTGTTTTGGAAGCTCAAAGTCATGTTGGCATTGGCTAAGCTTGGGGGTGGGCCCTTTCGCAGGTGCATGGCATAGTGGTGGATAGGAGTGTCCAGGGGATTGTACAATTCTGATTCAATTTAGAGTTCTGCACAAGTAGATTCTGAGGTTTTTTTTTGGTCTTTTTGACACAGGGTCTCCCTGTAGCCCTAGCTGGCCTGGATTTGCTTTAGAGACCAGGTTGGCCTCAAACTCACAAAGACCCGCCTGCCTCTGCCTCCCAAGTGCTTGGATTAAAGGTGTGCGCCATCACCCCAGCTGATGAAGAGTATTTTTGTTTTTTGCCAATTTATTCATTGCTTTTGTGACTATACTGACCTTGCACATTCCCTGTTCCACTGTTTTCCTGGTAGCCTGGTTCTTCAAGGACAGATGCCCTTTCCTCTGCATAATCCCACTCAAGTTACAGTGCTCATTGCCTTACAACTGGGTTATTTTAGGAGCTCTTAGGTGGATCCTTCCAGTATATCAGCCCCTCCTCAGTCATGCAGCTTCCTTGCTGAAAACGCCACAGCCCACAGTTCCTCCTCCTTGTCCAATGATTTCTCCAAACTCGAATCCCAGAATGACTTCCCAGCTTGGTCCCACTATTCCTAACGTCACACCATGCTATGGCTTGATTAATCCACATAGCCAGACTTCTCCCAATTATGCAGTTGCTTTCTACTACCTGTGCCTGCACCTCCATTAATAGTATTGACCCCTATGCCCTACCTGTTTCTTAAAAATCAGCTGTGGCCGACCTTTCTATGAGATCTTTCATAATTGTTTACACCAAAAGCTATCTTTCTTCTGTTAAGTTATTGTGCTATTTTGTGCCATTTACATGATATGTGTCACCTATTACTTGCATTGTGTTCTAAGTTCAAGTTCTCTCTTTTTAAATATATTGAGTAGCTTCCCCTTTGTTAGTGGAGGCGCTCTGTATGCCTTACCTTCTTTATCAGCATCAGTGAAACATCTCCACCAAGAAGTTCTTTATACTCATTGCACTAAGAAGTGTAAGAATTAATGACAAACATTGAGAACAAGAAGTTTGAGAAGAAAAAGACTATCCAGTGATAAAAATGGGAAAGGAGCTGGAGAGAGAGAGAGTTGAGAACACTTCCTGCTCTTCCAGATGACGTGGGTTCAGTTCCCAACACCCACATCAGCTGGCTCACAATCACCTGTGACTCCAGCTCTAAGGGATCTGACATGCTCTGGCCTCCATGGACACACATGCAGGTGGCATACACTCACACTCACACATACACATAAAAATTAGTAAAATCTTTTAAAAAGGGGGAATAGGAATAAACTGCCTAAGAACTATATTGTGTGAATTCCTCTTTATTTCTTTTAAACAGTAGGAGTAGTAGCAGGTGTTTATTGACTAAGAACTTGATTTGTGTCATTTTGGTCTCATTTTTGGCAGCACTGGAGATTGAATTTGGCCTTGCACATGCTACACAAATGTTCTGCCTCTAAGCTGTCATTTTTGGTATCCTTGCAATCATATGCTATCATCTACCTTTCCTTTTCTGCAGTGTCCTGAAGCAGAGTTCAGATGTGGAGCTCTCCTTCCCACAGCCACCGCAGGGCTCCAACCTCTTCAGTAGCACAAAGAGGGGAACACTGTTTCTTACCTCATATCGGGTAATTTCTCCTTCTCTTTTGATCGACTGATTAGCTCTGTTTTTCTGAAACTTGAGAAAGTTAAACGTTGGCTTTTAAAATGTTTTTGTTTATTTTTAGTTTTTTAGAATTTTTATTTAATTATTTATTTTTTTGGTCTTTTTGAGACAGGGTCTCCCTGTAGTCCCAGCTGGCCTGGAACTCACTATATAGACCACGCTGGTCTTGAACTCACAGAGATCCGCCTGCCTCTGCCTCCCAAGTGCTGGGATTAAAGGTGTGTACCACCATGTCTGGTCAGTTTTTTAGAATTTTAAAATTTTATGTGTATGAGTGTTTTGCCTGCATGTATATAGCTCACCACATATGTGCAATGCCCATGGAAGTCAGAAGAAGGTATTGGATCCCCTGGAACTGGAGTTACAAGCAGTTGTTGACCACCATGTGGGTGCTGGGAACCAAACTTGGGTCCTCTGCAGGAGCAGCCAGTGCTCTTAACCAATGAGCCATCTCTCTAACCCCTAAAGTGTTTTTATTTTATTTATTCTTATTTTATGTGTATGAGTGTTTTACCTGCATGTGTGAAAGTGCACCTGTGTCTTGGAAAGCCCTCAGAGGCCAGAAGAGGGTTCAGATCCCCTTGACCTGAAGTTATGGTTGGTTATTAGCTGCCATGTGGGTGTTGGGAATCATCCTGGGTCCTCTGGAAGAGCAGTCAGTGCCTTTAACTGCTGAGCCATCTCTCCAGCCCATTGAAAAAATATTTATTCTTACTCTATGTATATATGTGTATGTCTGTGTGAAGATGTGTGTGCTGTGTGTGTTGGTGCCATTAGAGGCCAGAAGAGGGCATCAAATACTCTGGAACTGGAGTTATAGGCAGTGTGAGTCACTGAATATAGGAGCTGGAAACCAAACCTGGGTCCTCTGCAAGAGCAACAGGTGCTCTTAAACACTGAGCCATCATTCCTGCCCCTTAAAGTGTTTTAAAACATTTTCACAGGGGCTGGAGAGATGGCCCAGCAGTTAAGAACACTGGTTGACCCGGGTTTGAATACCAGCACCCACATAGCAGCTAACAACTGTCCTAACTCCAGTCCCAGGGGATCTGACAGCCTCTTCTGACCTCTGCGGGCATTACACGACATGGGTGCACTTACCTACATTCAGGCAATATACGCTTACACATAAAATAAAAATAATAAATAAAATTAAAAAACAAAAATTTTCACAATAGGTAAGGTGGTACACTTCTTTAATCCCAGCACTCAGGATCCAAAGTAGTCTAACTGTGAGATCAAGGCCAGCCTAGTCTACATAGCAAGTTCCAGGCCAGCTGGGACTACAGAGACCCGATCTCAAAACAACAACAACAACAACAGCAACAAAAAAACCCAACCAAACAACAACCCCAAAACTCCCACACATTTTCACTTTGAGGTTTTTCCATTTTGAAGAGGGATAGAAGTTTCTTAATTAAGCCAAACTGCCAAAATGGCCTTGACCTCATTCCTACAAGTGTCTGTCCATGGACAAATTCTGTATTCTTTTTCCAAAGTTTCTTTCCTCACTCAGGTGATTTTTGTGACTTCATGCTCAGACAATGATCCCATGTTGTCTTTTATGATGCCATTTAATCTGATGAGTAACTTCACTGTCGAGCAACCAGTCTTTGGTGCGAACTACATTAGAGGAACTATTCAGGCAGCTCCAAATGGTAAGTGTCTCCCTTTAGAAGTGGAGGTTCCCCCACCCCCTGCAAAAAAAATTCCAGAAAGGTTAAGATTCAGACTTAGTTCATGTTAGAATCCAAACGAACTCTGTCCTGATTCTCTGAGTAGTGCTGCCCTCAGTGTTTTTCTCAGCATTTGCCCTTTATTCCCCCAGGTGGCTGGCAAGGAACAGCTACTTTTAAAATAGTCTTCAGGAAAGGCGGTGCCATCGAGTTTGCCCATTTGATGACCAAAGCTGTTGCTGCTGGTGAGTGACACTGATAGCATACTGCCTGTCTTAGGGGTTTAAGGATTAGGGTAGGTCTGTTATTCTTCCAAGACTCGGGGGGCCTCTGCAGTCAGAATTCAGCAGGATTTCATACTGTCTGTCAAGTTCTCCAGTGTGTGCTGAGACCACGAAGATGATTCATCTCACCTTGTCCAGAAGGAGCTTATACAGTGGGAGCTGCGTCAGACCCCTGCATGACTATAGCTGATGGCCTTCTGTCCTTTAAAGTGGGTGTTGTGCTCAATGTGCAGTCTTTTCCTGGGGCCAGGGAGCCCCAGGCACTTAGCTCTTTCCTCTGGCTGGTTTTGATCCTCTGTCCTCTCTGGCCTTGCTTTCTCCTGGGTTTGCTCTTGTCTTCTGTAAGAGGGAAGTAGAGGTACATCACTGACCTAATGGCTGTACCAGAACTCCTTCAGACTTTGACTACAAATCCTCTTTTATGGTCACTCTTTGTTCACTCATGCCTTACTTCACGCCACTCACACTTACCTTTTATACTCCAGCCAAACTGGACTTTGTGCCTCATTCACTCTCTTCTCTGTCAGGAATGCTCTTCCTTTTCTCTCTTGCTATCTACCTCCAACTTCAGTCTACATGAGGCAAACACAACCTAGTAGAGACAGACACACGCAGATTGTGTGTGTGTGTGTGTGTGTGTGTGTGTGTGTGTGTGTGTACTGTACTGGTTTGAATGAGAATGTCCCCATAGGCTCCAAGTATTTGGACAGTTTGTCCCCAGTTGGTGGCATTGTTTTGGGAGACTTTAGGAGGTGTGGCCATGCTGGAGGAAGTGTGTCACTGGGTTGGGGGGTGGACTTTGAGAGTTCCTAAGCCTTGTGGGAAATCCCTCTCTGCATCCTGTGTCTGCTTGAAGATGTGAGTGCTTAGCTTCTTGCTCCTGCTTGTCACTGCACAGTTCTTCCCTGCCATGACAAATGCCAATCCCTCTGGAACCATAAGATCAAATAAACACTACCTTATATAAGTTGCTTTTGTCAGTGTTTCTATCACAGCAACAGCAAAGTAAGTAATATAAAAATATTTGCTCGAACCGGGCGTGGTGGCGCATGCCTTTAATCCCAGCACTCGGGAGGCAGAGGCAGGCGGATCTCTGTGAGTTCAAGGCCAGCCTGGTCTACATAGGGCTGAGCAGGCAGATACATTCTGGCCAAATCTATGAGCTTCAGGTTCAGTGAGATCCGGTCAAGAAATAAAAGGTGGACCCAGGCTTGGTGGTACATGTCTTTAGTCCCAGCACTTGGGAGGCAGAGGCAGGCGGATCTCTGTGAGTTCAAGTCCAGCCTGGTCTACATAGTGTGTTCTGGGACAGCTGGGGCTACAGGGAGACCCTGTCTCAAAAAGACCCCCCAAAATTTGCTATAATAGAGGCATGAATATAGTGCTAGGGACACACAGGAGGGTGGTATGAAGTTTCTAGCTTAGTATAGGGAATGAACTATGGTGGAGAGATGGCTCAGTGGTTACAAATACAGAAGACCCAAGTTCAGTTCCCAGCACCTGTGCTGAGTAGCATTCAGCTATCTGTAACTCCAGCTCCAGGAGGATCTAATGCCTCTGGCCTCCAAAGGAACCCATACTCACATGCACATAACACACACATAATTAAAACAAAAAATAAAGACTATCACAATAAACTCCCTTTATCTAGATTTATCCAGCTTCAGCACTTCAGCATTTTTCTTTTTACTTTATCTTGCTCTTTTTTAAACTTTTCTTTTCACTTGTGGTTATGTAACAAAAGTAATTTTCTTCATTTCTGAATCTTTAAGTGTAATCTCAGAACAAGGACACTCTCTTATCTAACCTTAGTATGCTTGTAAAATTCAGAAAATTTGGGCTGGAGAGTTGGCTTGGCGGTTAAGAGCACTGACTGCTCTTGCAGAGGACTTGGGTTCGATTCCCAGCACCCACATGGCAGCTCCGAACCATCCTTAACTCCAGTTCCAGGGGAATCCGAAGCCCTCTTCTGACCTCCATGGCATTGCATGACACGGGTGCACT